AAAATATACACTAGACAAATCCTAAGACAAATCCCAGACACAAGAAGAGAAAAAGAAAAGAAAGAGAAGAAAAAGAGGGAGAGATAAAAAAAAAAAAAGCACGGGGGAGAGAGAATATAATCTCACAGGGTGAAATAGGGGATCTACTTCGTCCTGAGTGTATTTTGGACTGTGTTAGAAGATAGTAAATCCCAGAATTGTAAAGAAAGGAAAACTTTAGGGGTGCCTGGGTGGCTCAGTCGGTTAAGTGGCTGCCTTCGGCTCAGGTCATGATCCTGGGGTCCTGGGATCAAGCCCCACATCGGGCTCCCTGCTCAGCAGAAAGCCTGCTTCTCCCTCTCTGCCTGCCTCTCTGCTTACTTGTGCTCTCTATCTCTCTGTCAAATAAATAAAATGAAATAAAATAAAATAAAAAGGAAGACTTCATAGTAACATCTTTATATATTTATATATGTATACACACACACACACACACACACACACACACGCCCAAATAAAATTGAATAGAGTGAAAGGAAGCCAAAAATGAAGAATATATCTATAAAATGTAAAAGTAAAAAAGGAAAGTAAAAAAAGGACTTAAAAGTAAAGAGATGATAAAAGAAGAAACTAGTTGTAAAGGGAAAAAAGAAAAAAGGAAATGGAAAATTTTAAATTGAAAGATAAATGAATCATGAGATAAAAACCTCGAATTCTATATACTATTGTCCCCTAAAGCTGGATTTTTACAGTCCTGTGTGTTCCATAAACTTGCTGTTCACATTTTCTTCCAGTTGGTCTTTTGGGGAGGGGTCTGCTGTGCTGATTCTCAGGTGTCTTTCCCTGGGCAGAGTTGTACCACCCCTTGCCAGGGTGCTGAGCTCAGTGTAAGCTGTTTTAGTGTGGCTTTTGTTCCCTGAACACTTTCTGGGCCTCTTTAGAGGATCAAAATAAAAATGGCTATGCCCCAATCTCCAGCCCCAGAGCCCAAAGACTGTGGTCCCCTCTCTTCAGTAAACCCTCAGGGATAAGCCACCTTCATTTTTGTGCATGCCAAACTCTGCAAACTCCTGCAGTGCATGCCCACATGATCCTCTCCTAGGGAAGGCAGAGGATTGCCTGTTACTGTCTGTTACAGGGCCCACTGTGAGAGCTGTCCCCCGGTCATGTGTGCACCTGCCTCACCCCTTCCTGGTGAAGGCAGAGGGTCCCCACATTCCTGTTCTTTGCAGGCTACATACTGGGAGAGTGGTCACCAGATCCAGTTGTGGTTCATAGTTTATGGCCAACTGAGAGCACCCTCCTAGGATTTCTGTCCATAACCAGGTTCCCCGCACCAGTGCTTGGGAACTCTACTGGCTCAGGTACCCCTGTTCTTTCTGTGATTCTTGGGATCCTGAGACGACACTGTCCTACCTAGAATTCTGCCCCATTTCACCACCTGAGCATCTGGGAGACAGGGATGTCTCTCACTGAAGCAGATTTCTAAGTGTTCCAAATTTGCCTTCCTGTGCTATATCACTTTCTGGCAGTCGGCTTATTGAGGATCCCTGCCCCCGCCATCTGTCTTCTGATACATCCCCTCTGAATCACTTCTCCACATATCTTACCTTGCAAAAAGTGGTTGCTTTTCTACTTCTAAAGTCCCAGATACTCTTTTCTTACATCTTAGGTTGAATTCATGGGTGTTCAGAATGATTAGATAGTTATCTGGCTAAATTCAAGAGACCAGGTGAAACGAGGTCCCCTACTCTTCTGCCAGCTTGCCTCTTCATCAATGTCATTATATATATATGGAATGTATTCAGCATAAAAATGAATGAAGTTTTGGCCTTTGGGACAGCATGGATGGCCCTGGAGGGCATTATACTCAGTGAAATAAGTCAGACAGAGGAAGATAAATACCAAATGATCCCACTTATATGTGGAATCTTAAAAACAAGAAAAAAAACAAACCAAGCATGTGGATATTCAGAACATATTGGTAGAAGCCTGAGCTAGGGGGTGGGGAGTGGGTGAAATGTGTGAAAGTGTCAAAAGGTAAAAATTTCCAGTTATAAAACCAATAAGCCATGGGGATGTCATGTTCAGCATGGTGAGTCTAGCTAACAAAACTGTATTGTAGATTTGAAAATAGCTAGGAGAGGGGATCTTGACAATTGTCATCATGAAAGAAAGTTTGTAACTGTGTATTGTGATGGATGTTAACTGAACTTGTTTTGATCACTTTGCAGTACATACAAATATCAAATCTTTCCATTGTACACCTGAAATTAGTGCAATGTTATGTCAGTTATATGTTAACAACATCAACAAAAACAAAATAATGACAAGGGACTGTTCATCCATAACATTGGCTCAGGGTTGAGTCCCAAGTATCTTGCGCCCACGTGAGTGTCATAGGCATTCTTAGCCCTTAGCATCTCTATCCATAGGCTGAGGCTTAAAGGGGATGATGATAAAGTCTATATCATCCACAAGAGCAGTTAAGGAGTAAAATAGAATGACAACAGGGCCAAGTGAAAACTGTGATTTCGTATTTTCCTCTATGATGAAATTATATAAATGAAATGAAATTAAATAAAATTAAATAAACTATATAAATGGCCTTAGATGCCAAGTGTAGTTTTATCCATCCATATTACCCATCCATAATACAAGTGTGTTTATTCCTTCAGGAAGCCTAGGGAAATTTTACTTGGCATTATATATATCATTTGAAAAGAAATAATATTTATGAAATCAAGGTGGTCCTGTAAATGATATGGAGGTTTTCAAATATTTCTGTTCCAAAGTTGGGAAGAACTGTGGGAACGTATGAACATGGATAAGGGGAAAAACTGTATGTATATCAGACAGAGCAGAAAGCTTAGAAAATGGAGTTTTCTGAAATTGTAAAAAGAAGTTGAATTCTAAGAAATGGAAATTTTTGGAAATACATAGGGTCAAACTCTATTTTATGATGAACAAAAATTGTGACTTTGAGCCCTGCAATTAGGGCACTTCTTCACCACCAGGAGGACACTCGTCCCTTTTACAGCAGCCATCCTGAAGAATCTCATTAGAGCCTCCTTTATGTCTCTGTTCCTCAGGCTGTAGATGAAGGGGTTCAGCATGGGTGAGACCACTGTGTACATCACTGAGGCCACTGCACCTGCGTGGGAGCTCTGGGTAACAGCAGAGCTAAGGTACACTCCCAGGACAGTAAAATAAAATAAGGAGACAACTGAGAGGTGAGATGCACAGGTAGAAAATGCTTTATACTTGCCCTGAATTGATGAGATTCTATGTATGGAGGAAATAATCTTAGAGTATGAGTAGAAGATCCCAGCGAGGGGACCACCAGCCAGCAGCACAGCTGAAACATACATCACCAAGTTATTTAGAAAGGTGTCAGAACAGGCAAGTTGGATCATCTGATGGAGTTCACAGAAAAAGTGGGGGATTTCCACCTCTGTACAGAAGGACAGCTGCAACACCATCGAGGTTTGTAACACAGAATGCAAGACACTCATGATCCAGGACACCAGAACCAGCAGTCCACAGAGGCGGGGGTTCATGATGACCGTGTAGTGCAGGGGGTGGCAGATGGCCACAAAGCGGTCATAGGCCATCATAGCCAGGAGAAAGTTGTCCCAGCCTGCAAAGAGTGTGGAAAAACAGATCTGGCTGATGCATCCTGTATAGGTTATAACTTTGCTCTGTGTTTGTATATTCACCAACATCTTGGGGATGGTGGTGGAGGTGAAGCAGATGTCTACAAAGGACAGGTTGGCAAGGAAGAAGTACATGGGGGTGTGGAGGTGGGAGTCTGAGCTGACGGCCAGGATGATGAGCAGGTTCCCAAACACAGTGATCAGGTATATGGAGTGGAAAAGCCCAAATATGAGGGGCTGCAGTTCTGGTTCATTTGATAATCCCAGAAGAAGAAATCCTAAAATGTGGGTATCATTGCCTGGTCCCATGTGGTTGTTGTAATAACTATAAATTAAGGGAAAAAATGATTATTTTTTAACACAAATGGGCACGATTATTATGGCAGAAATGTTATAATTAAAATGACATGTGGAGGGGGGAAGGAGGCATCAAAGAAATTGGATAGGCTGTATTCTTTCCTGGGAGTTCGGGAAGACCTAAACAGAAGGTGAAATTTGCAGAGAGCCCTCAGAGAAGACTCCACAGAAGACACAAGATCATTTGGTGACTTCTGTGCCCTGTTGGAGAAAGAGTCAGTGCAAAGGCCCCGAGAAGGTACTCTCGTTCAGATATCCGGTACTCAAATGGAGCTAGTGTGGTCAGGAGACCAACCAGAGAGGGTGATGAGAGGTGGTGTCAGGGAAGCTTGAGGAACGAGGTGGCCTCCCCACGGC